ACAGCGATAAGAGATATGGGAAGAGAAATATTTTAATATCTTCTTAAGGAATCAAAATGTAGTGAGCATCATTATGTTTTGCTCTACAAAATGAATGTGAAGAGGACTACTACTTGTTAAGGGATAGACAAGTAATAGTGATATTATATTGAGTATCTTTTATAATTACTGGTACTCCGCAGTGGTCACTGCCGACATTAGACATAAAGTATTTGGTAAACAGACCTTGTCACCTAACAAGACTATAGGAGTTTTCATAGCAAATTGCTTTTGACGCGTACTACTTGCATACATTTTTAACTGAGAGCAGTATTTTAACTAACAGATTGTTACTGACTACACTGACATAAAAATGATAGGTTTCTCAAACCTATTTTCGTTATTACCTACCTCAGAACAAAAAGTAAACCATTATTAATCACAAGTAATATGTATTCAGGCTATAGATTTATCACCTTCAAACCTTCTGTCTAATAGTCTATGCACCTTATGCTTTACTTCAGCTGGTTCCTTAGACATGACTAAATATACAATCCCTAGCACCTGTAACAGTTATTGGAAACCAAATCTACCAAATATTTACTAAATCATGAATTTTTTAGACGTTGGAGTTCGTAGACATTGGTTACGGCCTTCAGAAAAATCCATATATTTAAGCGACAATTTATTTTCACTACCAAAAATGTTTCTTTATATATGAAGCATTCAGAGGCAGGGTGCGAAGACATACACATATATGTTTACATATGCATAGCATAAAGTCTTACAGATTTAAGTGCTTTCGTTTATTTGGAGGAAAAAATATAGAACGCTCCTCAACGAATTGTCAATTCAAAGTTGCATAAACATCAATGTCTCTGAATGAGAAACACCCCCGAAAAATGCCACATATGGGAAAATATCTGATTGTAGAAAAAGTAAAATACACTTATTCTGCATCTGCTCAGAAAGTGTGTGGTCGTGACAAATGTATCTGTTCAGTGAAATTGATACTATAGTACACAGAGAAACTGAAATCTGTTCATATTTAGTAACAAAAAGAATCAGGAAAGTAACAATGTTTGTACAAAACTTTTTTTCAGTAAATACACTTATATAATACAGAATTGTAGTTTCAATGTATAATCCATAATGTCTATCATTGTACATGGCAACATGCAAAAACAAAGGAGTAAAATGCGACTGATGGACGAATCACTATGGATTTTAAATAGAGTGAAACATGATGATATGGAAAATATTGTACTGCATTACACTCAACTTTAACCCTTATTTATTTATTGTTATTATTTTCATATCGCTAAATTGGCTAAAATTTGAGACATTTAGGAATAAAAGCCGTTCACTGTTATCCTCTTAAGGGAGCTTCTTGAATCCGTCTACAAGTATGGACATAAATGTTTGATGTCAATGGAATATTTTAGCAAAATGCCTTATCTTTCGTCCATTTAGATCCCTTCACAAATTTGGATAAGATAAAAAGGATGAAATTTACTGAATAAAATGATATCATTATAGCTCACGAATACTTTTCAGCTACATACAGCCTAAAAGTTCAACTAGTATTAGGACATAGGATATTTGGAAACTAGGGACTCAGTAATCATGTTGGTTGATAATCCACATAACATGCGAGCGAATTAATTGTACAGAGGTAAGATATGTAAGAAAGGAAGAATAATAGTAGATAAACAAAACGTTATATAGCTAAAATTTCAATGAAACAGGGTCAAGTTTTACTCACCAAGGGTCTGTGGCATTAACTACACTCTCCTTCTGTATGCAGTAGTTAAGTTGAAAGAATTTTATTACGATCGCTTTTTGTGCATACAACTTTTCCTGAGTTACTGGTATCGAAAAGAGAAAATCTTATGGTTTGAACACTTTGAACTTCAAAACATTTCATGAACAAATTATTCAGATGGGTTACACTTAATGGTTTTATTCTCCCCGTGGATCATTAGTCATGTAAACAGTTATTTTGGTAACAGTAAAAAAATCGAAATTTAACGAAAGTTATGACTTTGCTGAAGCAAAAATTTCATATAAAAGAGAACTCTTATGATCGATGTGAAATTCTATATCTCATGAGTTTGTCATAGACTCATTTCACTTTAAAAAGTATGGTATTGTATTGTCTAAACTATATGTCAATTATTTAGCCTGTGTAACTTTAACCTTTTGATAATCAAATATTATCATATAACTCTGCGTAAATTTTCATCCAAGTTCCTGAGCATTTCGTTTGGTTCAACAGACCAATGATACTTAGATTCGAAGAATATAACATTATGTTAGTGATCAACCGGAGTAACACTAAAAAAATTGGAAGCTACGACCTCCTAGTTTGGGACCTAGTAAGGCATATTCAGTATGCCTCTGGGTATCGATTGTGAGAAAATCAGGTCCTATAGCTATCACATTGACAATTAGTCATATGGACGAAATTCAATGATCCACTATTTCCTGTCACTTCTCAATAAAACACTTCCATTAACCAATGCTAACTGTCAGTGTTGGTATCGACATTCTACTTGACCAATCACACAGGTGATAGCTTCTCAGTAGGACTTCGAGAAATCTAGCTGGACACACGTCACCTAATGTTATGCATTGTGATATTTGAAATAAACACCATCTTTCTTCCTCTAAAAGCTTAGTGCTAGTGTTACAAATTTTGGACTCTCTAGTTTGAAATTAATAAAACAAGCAGCTGTTCACTAATCTAAATGCATGTTTAATACTGATTAGTATACATAAAGATATCTGATTTTACCTATCCAGTAAATCAAATGAAGTGTTGATTCTATCATCTACAAAAATAAGAGAAATCTTCATTCTTTTTATGCATTGTAAAACTATTTATTCATCCCCTCATGACAATAGAAACAATGGTGTCAATTATCTTTGAACAATTAGAGTAAATAATGAACACAGAGGATTTAATCAGTAACACTATCATCATCATCATCAGTAGTAGTAGTAGTAGTAGTAGTAGTAGTAGTAGTGATCGTGGTCACTACGACTCGTTGGGGCGATTTTCATAGACATAACTATGTTGAAACAGTTGGTGATATTTGAAGCGTTGACCAAGTCATTACTGATACATCATCGAATTTTAGCAATACATAATTGTTTTTCCTTTTCCCAGAAAAAGTTTGTTAATACGTAGGCACATGAATAAAAGCAATATCTTATGATAGACGTTCATGATTAACTGTCAAACCTTAAAGATACAGAGAAGAAATAAAACAGAATTAACTAGCATTACAATAATAAAAGTCAACAAACTATCCTGTATATTTCTAAACTAAAAATGATAGGTATACATAAATATAAAGTTGAATTGCGCAGTTTTTAATTAAATATGCTGACTTATTACAGGGTTAGTTAATTAATTGATTCTGAAAATTCTGTTCACGGACACAAATTTTTATTTATGAAAAGGATCTGTTTTGTAGGTATGCCTGTTGCAAAGACTAATTGTCATGACTACTGTACAGTTTATTTAAGTCAATGTAGTTACTGTTCATTTCTTAACTTGGCCGAATATTTTTGCCAATATCGTAATGAATCCGGCTAAATAACAGCTATCTTTTGTTATTAAGTGATGAAAATATATATTATGTGTATCTTACATTAGGGTAGATTGTAGTTGAATATAATGAGTCTCTGAAATACATGGAAGGGTGGATGTTATAAATTTGTTTCAGTTGACGATAAGTGTAAATTAACATTGAAAATTTGAATACACTAAAGCATACGCATTCACATTGAATACCATCAACATTAAAAGGGTGTTTATGCCTTATGTATGATAAAAAAAGAGGAATATATAGTATGGCGTTAATAACAGAGGGTGGAAAGAAATATCCGAAGACCTCTGGTGTGTATTCTGCCACAAACAATCTCTCAAATCATGGTTACTTCGGTCTCACTATCATGGAACGTCAGATAACTTGATTCTGTGAAATCTGAGAAGCAGAATGATTTTTAAAGAAAAAGAAAAGTAATTAGCTTATAAAGAATCTTTGAAACATGAAGAAAGTTGAATTACTCTGCATAAACACGTACATAAACTACGCAAATATATATGCAGGATTATGATTTCAAATAAGTGATTCAATTAGACTTGGCGTATCAAAAATCAGTATTGTCTGAAGTCTGCCTCATAATATTGTTCACTCACAAAAAAGTATTGTTATTAAACAATGAATCGCACAAAATTTCCTCAAATTCTCAGATGATAGCAACCTCTTCGACTTCTTGCTTGTTACTTGACCTTCATACTAACATTCTAACCTGTTCATATTTCGACCCATTTTAAAGAGTTACCTTTTGTAATAATGTGCTGATATATGAGATTGAAATTTTCAAAACATATTGGTTGTATCCATCACCTATTTCAGATAAACCATACCTTCATACCTTCTTATTTCATTATCCAAAAGGACTGGTCATTAGAAACGTTTTACAAGTCTGTTTTCAAGTGCATCACATGGTTTAAAACTATCAAGCATGAATTAGGCTTCATCAGTTAACTTAAATAAAAACTGTCAGTGTAACTAGTTTTTTTTGTCTCTTTTTACCCAGTACCGTTTATAAGATATTGTTTCTAAAGCATGTGATATCGCACTCCAATAGCAGCTAGGTTGGGAACAGTTATTCACAAGATTTACTGTTTGATTCAGAATAATAAACCAGAGAACAAACCATTTGTGACGTTCCAAGGTACTCCCTTGTCAGTACTAAAACTTCCTGGTCTCAGAGTATAATTTGTTTAATATGAGAGACTCCGGACCACCTTTTTACTACAAACATACCATAGAAAAAGGCTGTGAGGTAGTTAGTACTAAGGTAATCACTTCTGAAAGCACCAAAAATAAAAAAATTGCTATAAAGGTATGTTGCGTTGCTTCTGCATGCTCAAAATTTACAAAACAAGTTTAACTACTTATAAGTAAGTGATACAGATATTGAATATTTTTTTACCTTTGCAGGGGTTGAAAATATTGAAGCTGAGTCGAACCACGTATTAACCGAAAACTTTCATTTATCCTATTTTAATCCTCTGAAATCAACGCCTTCTAAATCCTATAGCATGAACACACTACTTGCACAACCAATTTACGTGGCAATGGGGATAGCACTATCTATCCTTCTATTTGGTATTTTATTCCTTACAACAGCACTTCTAATTTATCGTAAACACAAACACTTTCATATTTCTAATTGTCATGCAGTTTGTAACTATTCATGTCATAATGGGAATGCTGTTACATCACCCACTATGGAGAGTGTCAATCATAAAAGCTCTGTAGGAATATCAGAAAACTTAAACAGATATCAGAATTTGAGTCAACTAACTACCATGTATCCAAATCAAAATTCAGTTGACCAACCACTGTTATTAAATGGTATCAGTTCTAATGAAAGCATGAATCCCTCCACTGAATACCGATCATTGCCATCAGGTCACGGTGACAATAACTGGTTGAAACCAGTTGATAATGTGACTTCTCATGAGTGAGTTATCCGGTAACAAATGCAATATTTTAAATCGTAGTATGCATTATTTTTAATTTCAGATTAATCTGTCATTATCACTGTTATTATTCATATAGTTTAAAAAGACCTATAGGAGTTCTTCAGTCTACTTCGTTAGGAGTCCTTTGACTATGACAATAAATAGGTACAGTCAGACAGCAGAAAGACATATTCATGGTTTATGCTGTTGTCGCTCATCATCAATATGCGATATTAGTGAAGATCTATGGATCAAACTGGGAATAGTAAGTGTTCAGTATTCTCTGGGATACAGTGCTTGTCCTTCACAATCAGCCTTGGTGACTTCATCAATACTTACTCCATAAATAAGCGGGATAGTTTCAAGTTACATGAATGAGTGTACAACATATTTGCCGATCCTGAGCCATTATTGGATTATATGTGAAGACGAGTTTTTTTCGATTACATTTTCAAGTGTATAACTAACACAACCTACTGCCTAATGCTCTTGACCTAACGTGTGATTATGGACCTGGCTGGTCGGTTTAGAGTCAGTTGATAACGGCTGGAATATTGGATTAATTCTCGCATACCTGTTGGTAGTCATTTTATTAGAGTACCATGGTTTCAGGAATTTATTTGTAGCTTTTTAGCCTCCATCTTTTATTGATTATACTTTGTCCCAGTCACGGTTGTGATTTCGCTCGTCTACATCAATCGATACCAATATGATGTCGTTTGACTGTTAGTTATTGCTCATAAATTATTTGGCTTATTTGACAACTGGATTAGCCGACATAATGATGTTGGCAGCTTTTGCAACTAATTTTGTAGATTACATTCATCTTGTCATTCTTGGATAGTGGATCTTTTAGCCTGAATAATATGTTCTGCAGGGATTTGTTTGGCTTGTATGCCATGCCGATGCCAAACGAATGAAGTAATCAGCTGACGGTTCCTGAGATATCTTCTCTATATAGTAAAGTAATTCGCTTTGAGTTGTGGTAATTTTCTTGGACTCAGGCCTCTTGATAGGTACTTTTTGATGAAGTTGACTGCATAATTATTGACTCCTAACACTTTGTTAAGGTGTTTTCCTTTGATTTCCATAGTGGTTGAGCTTATCTTGGTGTCTACAAATAGTGCACTGAAGTGTTGTTATTCTTGTTCTAAAGATGTGTGTTTTGCCTCTCCCTACACTTGGGTTTGATAGTTTCATTTATGTGTTCTACTGAGAAGAACATCTAGAAATAGGAATTTGTTATTTTCTTCTTCTTTTTTGAATTGGATACCATCGAACTACTGAGACTGAACATGCTTTCCAGTTCACTTGTTTCTGATCTAAAATAGTGTCATCTACATGATGAGTCTAAATTTGGCTTGTAGTTTTTTGAAGTGATAAGTGATTCTAACCCATGCATCATTTTTAAGCAATCAGTCTAGATGCTGGTGAACGAAAATTAGTTCTTTTGGGGTGTTTATAGATCTTGTTGAATTAAAAAGTATATCGTGATTAGTTCCAACACCATGTTGCATCGACGAGCTCAGTCGGTACAGATAATACGTTCTTTCCAAAGGTTGGAATTACAATGCAAAAAACTAAGCGTCATAATAGCTGACTTAATTTCTAAACAAGGGAGAAATTATGAATTTTCTAAATGATAAACACGAATATTAACTGATGAATTCTTATAAAATTTTGGGAATATCTATGACATGCTTTTAAATATGAAATCGCAAAGTACTAACAAAACAGTTTTGAATGGTTTAGACTCTTTGATGCAAAACGTCCCTGGATAAATAAATTTGATCACCGTTCACTGGATCACTGTTTCATTTGTTCTAACACTCAAGAGAAAAACGTTGAACAAACAATGAACATTAAGTCCTGAATGCCATAAAACTGCTGAAATGTGGGAAAGCAGCAGGACTAAACGAAATTCCTCCAGAAGCACTGAAAACAGATGCAGAGACAATAGTGGACATGCTCACACCACAATTGCAGAAGGTTTGTAAGGAAGGAAGAGAAGGCAGCTGGAGACTGGAAGATGGGCTACCTTGCCAAACTCCCAAACAAGGGAGACCTAAGTCTTGGCGAGAACTGGAGAGGAATCATGCTACTGTCCACTCCAAGCAAAATATTATGCTGAATCATCCTGGAGAGACTAACGGATGCTCTCGATTCAGAGTGACGACCGTAACAGGCTGGCTGGCTGGTTGGCTTCAAGAAGAACAAATAATATGCGAATCGAATTGCAACGCTACGCATCATCATAAAACAAAGTATAGAATGGCAGTTAACTCTCCACCTTACCTCAACTTTGCCGACTTTGAAAAGGCCTTGTAAAGCGTCGACTGAGAAGTAATTAGGCAGGCAGCTACCTCAACACTACGGAGTGCCCCTAATTTTTGTCAACCTCATTGAACAGCTATATGAAGACGCCACATGCCAAATGACTCACAATGGAAAGGTCAGGGACGCCTTTGAAGTGAAGACAGGAGTAAGACAAGGCTGTCTACTATCACTGATCATTTTCCTGATTGTAGTGGACTGGAATGGATCATGCAGCAAAACCGTGAGGAATAAGAAGAGGGGCATACGCTGGCTGGACCGATGAGAAGACCCTAGATTATTTGGATTTCATCACCGATCATGATTTATGTCTGATGTCTTGTCACACAAACCCGAAGATCTTCAGGCGAAAACTAAGAAGTTGACAGAAAACGTAGCGCCAGTCACCATCAACAGGAGCAACCTGAGAGAAGTTGTCTCTTTCACTTACCTAGTCAAGGCAGCACCGTTTCAACTACAGGCGGCGGTACAGATGAGGAAGTCAAAGTCAGGATCGGAAAAGCAAGACAGGCTTTCACTAATCTCAAACCAATATAGAGATCTACTTCACTCAGCATAAAAAACAAAATCCAGATTTTCAACACTAATTCAATAAAGTCAATCAGTGCTTCTATGTGGTTCAGAAACTTGGCGCATTACGAAAAGCATTTCCAACAAACCGAAGACATTTATCAACAGCAGACGTCTACGCTCACCCGATATTGAAGATCAGATGGCCAGAATAGGAAGAATAAGCAACAAGGAACTGTGGGAACGAACTAACCCAGAACCTATCGCCCAACAAATATGCAGAAGAAAGTGGAGATGGATTGGACTGGACATAAACTGAGAAGACCATTCGGGGACATCACGCGTCAGGCCGTAGAGTGGAACCCATATGGGAAGCGATGAGTTGGGCGTCGGAGACGAGGGTGATATGGAGGAGATCATGTGAGGAAGAAATGAAAGCTTATGGGCAGTCGTGGTGCCAGGTTCAAAAGACTGTAGAGAAGAGAGTGCACTGGAGACGTGCTACTGAATCCCTATGTTCCACTAGGAACCCAAGGGATAAAAATAATAAAAAACAATGGACATATTTACTTCACACATAATATTGTTTGATTATTAGAGTGAGACAGATATTCAACCTAGGTGAGGAAGTGTAAAGAAATGATATTCTTAAAATATGATTACTGATCCAGTAAGATAGCAGAGAGAGGGAAATTATTTAGGAAACGTTCAGTATGAAAGTGAACTTTAAATGATAATACCTTATGATGAATACCCATCTTTACATTCTTCTAAGTTCCACAGATAGAAAAAAGAAATAAAACATTGTATTCTGTCTAAGTGTTATAAGGGAAATATTCAGAATCCTTAAGCACGGGTTTCATGCTTACTGAAATGTATTTTTAATCTACAAAATCTTCATCTTTGTCATAAACTCTAGAAGTTCCTATCCAGTATTGTGTAGCCCGATAATACAGCTGTTACCTACTATGATTTCGAAGTGGTGGAATATATTTGTAGCCTGGGTGGATGCTCTTGGTTGTATTGTGTTCTCTGAGCTCAGAGAATACAATACAACCAAGAGCTGCTATCTGTTGCATTTTATGAAACATTTTCAAATCTGAAATGAACCTTGAGCTTGTTGTTGACTACAATACTTTAATTTCAATTACTGTTTCTAGTCCATATAACAGTTACATAGTTGTCTGAATAACTCATCGGATTCCATTCTATTAAGAACTCCTCAACTGTCTAAATGTCAACACTTTCGCATTTTAAATGATAAGTAATCAGTTAGTGTTTTAATTGCAATACCAACACATATGCACGTATATTCATGTGATTAGTTAAAAATGAAGCAAAACCTGTTTTGTTAATCCCCACCTCCCTTTTAATTCATACTAAGAAAATGGCACTACAAAGGCATCAGTATACCAAAAGGATATAACTATTTCATTTGTGATAGTCACTTGGGAAAAGATTCCAAATTTTTTCCAATAAATGTATACTATTTTTGACATTTAATTTGTTCATTTGCAGGAAAAAGGAAAATATCTGTAAAGAAAATTTATTCACATATTGTTGTTGTTGTTATCCGTATCGTGATAACGTTGTTCCTACTAATCATATTCATGATAATAATACTACAAGTAAAAGATTCACATCATTTAGGAATTCATCTATGCTCAATAAAAGAACACCAGTAAGTATTGACAGTAACAATAATAGTAACATTTCTGGGGAACATTTTCACCCGGCAATATGTGAAGAAAGTGAATTGAGTTTAAACACAGAAAATCAGAAACATGATCCAAGTAGTGTATCTACACCATTATTCAGCTTACATTCAGCATCACTGCATCAAATATCAGATTTAATTGAGCATAGAAAACTAAATAGTAACAATCATAGCAATAATAATAAACCGCTATTGTATAATAATCAAAATACATTTACATGGATACAAAATCAACAGTCTCAGTTGCATCAGCAAAGCCGTCATCAAAAGTTTCAACAGCTAAATTCTAATTTAGTTGGGAATCAAGAGGATCAACAACAAACACATTCAATGATCAATGAATTAAATGGAAATAATTCTAACTCGAGTTGTTTGAATGAAATTAATAATAAAGGTAGTCCAGATTACGAACTGATAAAAACAACAACAAATTACAAATCTAATGAAAACGAATTAGATTGGACAGTGGATGCGATAAATTCTTTCAGTCACAGGAAAAATGATACTGATAGTCAAAATGTTGATACAAATTGGAAATGTAACAATAGCAATGATTTATGCTCTCCAGAAGTGTACGATATTGCAGGTATAAATACAGAATGTGATGGAAGTCATCAAGATAGTAGGTTTATACAGCAACAAACACTGGCACCTATTCACTTATCTGACTTAACATTTCCTCATCTTCCACCACCTCCATCTTATCCACCACCTCCTCAACAACATCAGCAACAACCTCAACAGTTCATTGAAGCATTGAATTCTAGTAATCAAATTATACAGAATAAAACTTCACCTTTTGTGGAATTACACCGACTTGACATGTTGTTACAACGTCAAAGAGGTACTGGAAAAACTAGTAGTGGTGGAGAAGATAGTAAAACAATAGAAAGTGAACAATCTGAATTAAATCATACGTGGAAATTATCAGGTTCACGTGAAAGCAGTAGTGGAGCTAGTACAGCTATACTAGGACAAAGAAGTATTCTTAACAACAATAATAATAATAGAAATAACAGTCGGTTTCTAGAATATTCACCTGATTTTAACAAGTTAACTGGACGTAAAGTTACTGAAAGAGATTTCATTGGCTTAGCAACATTTCGTAAGGCAGATGAAAAACATACAGATTTAGTTACACCTTATGCAGAATTCGATTTATCACCAGATTCAAGTGTGTATAATAGTTAGTTCATGAAATAATTAGGTAAGGCTCTCTCCTTTCATCAGTGAAATTGGTAATAAGATATTTACAGGACAGTACAACATACGCGCTGAGATGCACGAATGCACCTTCAGTACATAATTTGTAAATTTTCATCTCGTTTTTTCTTTTCGTAAATTTGCCTCTAAATATGACTTGATTTGTAAATCTATCCCTGTTTCTGTTACTTTTTATTTATATAAAAAGATACTACAACTCATTGTAATGAAATGAGTACTTCTCCTCAGTTTGTTAGCAAAACACTAGAAGAAAATATATGAAAACGAGATACTATACGCCTTTAAAAGATAACTGGAGGAAAATACTTTACTGTTTCCTACATATCTAACGCAAAATTACTTCCACAGCTCACGTGATGTAAACGTTATATAAATCCGAACTGTTATACCTAACGTCAACATGATGAGCATAATTCGGTACGAGGTGAAACTAAGTAATAAAAATAGCTTTACTACTACTGATTAAAAACTGCGGGAGGAAAGTTAGGAAAAATTACCGATATCAAAGATGAAAAAATGTCTAAGACGTTCAAAAAGACAAGAAGAGAATAAATTTGTGTTTCCAAAGACTCATAACTTAGTCCATAATCCCTATTGCATAGAAATATGAATACATAGTCACTTGCAAAATATACACAACACAAACATGTAAAATTTGCAATGTGATAGTGTACTTGTTAGTGACACATTATTATTCAGTGGACAACGTTTAAAACACAATGAGCTGTTCATAAATGCGTCATTATTATCATTATTATTTATCCTTTGGGTTCCTAGTGGAACACAGGGATTCAGTAACACGTCTCAAGTGAACTCTCTTCTCTGAAATATTTTGAACCTGGCTCCACGACAGCTCACAAGCTCTCATTTCTTCCTCGCACCACCTCCTCCATGTCACACTCGCCTCGGACGCCCAACTTATCGCTTCCCATATGGGTTCCACTCTACGGCCTGACGCGTGATGTCCCAGAATGGTCTTCTCAGTTGATGTCCAGTCCAATCCATCTCCACTTTCTTCTGCATATTTTTTGGATAACAGGTTCTTGGTTGGTTCGTTACCAACCACAGTTCCTAGTTGCTCATTATTTCTGGTCATCTGAGCTTCAGTATCGAGTCGCCGTAAGCAGTTGTTGATGAATATCTGTAGTTTGTTGGAAATGCCTTTCGTAACGCGCCAAGCCTCTGAACCATACAGGGGCACTCACTTGACTTTGGTGTTGAAAATCAGGATCTTGTTCACGCTTTATGCTGAATGCAGAAGATCTTCACACTGGTTTCAGGTTAATGAACGCCTGTCTTGCTTTTCCGATCCTGATTTTGACGTCCTCGTCTGTGCCGCCACCTGTAGTTGAAACGGTGCTGCCTAGATAGGTGAAAGAGGCTGCTTCCTTTAAGTTTCTCCCGTTCATGGTGATTGGTGCTTGTTGCTGATGCTGTTGTTGGTTGGGTATCTTCATCATCGCTGTCATGGATGTGGTGTATGCTTGTAAAACATATTCTGTGTCCTAAACACCATGTATTCAGTAACAATGTTTCATTCAAATTAAGGAAGGGTTTGAATGAAGTACTCACTGCTCGAAAGTCAAGTACTTACGCCTATAAGCCATGCTTCTACGATTGTGACACTAAAACATGTGTAAATATTGCCAATTCACATTTCTGGAGTTTTGAATGAAGACTGAGTTTTCATGCTATCTGAGAAGCGACAGTTCACCTTACAAAAATTCAATAATCTACTGATAAAAGATTTGAAAAGGCGGAAGACCATCAGTTTCTGATAAAATAAGATAGTAGTATTGATGGATGACTAATATATTAACTAATGCGTACAGAGTAAAACATGAGCAGAATAGCAGAGAACAATTTCCATTCTGGCCTTGTGTTAGTCAAAGAACCCTTGAAAAAATAGAACATGAAGCAAATGTTTCGCCTTATCTTGAGAACTGTCGGCAATGTTTAGCTCAGACTCTACGAAGCAGATATGCCTAGGAAAGTTAGGTCGCCCGATGAGCACAAAACCAACTTAGTTGAAATCCAATCTTCTACCTTTTTCAACCGCTGTCATTTCGCGATTCGGTGCGGATATCACTGGTTGGCATCCACTCTAACTCCTGACCTCCTTAACCTGCCGGCTGCTTTGTAAGGCGCTAGTAGTGAAAAGGGACAGTCCTGAACCTGATACTCGAAAGATCACGGGTAAGCACTGCTGACAAGTCAAATACTAGGACAAAATAATTGTCCATTGGTTTCAGACTTTCTAAGGTTCTTCAGCTGATTTCAGTTTATGGTGAAAACAACTTTCTAATCAATTTATTTCGATAACGTCATTAGGAAAACAACCGAAGTCATAAGAAAACAACATACAAGCAAACAATTCCTTTTAGAGAGCCTAAATATGACTTATGTAGTGTGCATGTCGGTGAGAAGTTGATAAAGTTCAGCTGATCCTGATGATATGATTTTGACATATTGTTTCAACGGTTTGGAGACAAATGCAGGCTGTATTTGGCGAATCATACAGCACTTTACAGATAATAAAGAAGTATACTTAGTGATGGATTTTCGGCTTCAATCAACAGAACTTAGGTTTCGTATTTGTTGATATTCTCCAGCAGCGTACATCTCTAACCATAAGGAGAATTTTGCTACCTCAGTGGTGGAAATCAATATTATTCAGTTACGATATTATAGACTGTTCCACTAAGCTATCTATTCTGGCCACCACCGATCCCCAGCCGGACCCGGCTTTATGTGAGAATTGGCCCTTGATGAACAACTGACATAGTTATATAGTTCTTAGTACCCAGTGCAAACTGAAGTCTGTCAGTGAAGTTTGACTTTTTCTTCAGCTAGGTAACGTGATATTGCTGTTGGTGTTGCATTCAGTTTCTATTCGTAGTGGATAGGCATAAACAGATATAACTTCTAGTGATTTTGGTTTTAATTTATCCGGCTATGGTGAGGGATATAACTTGTCACTTGTTGATGGGACTCTCTGAAACAGCCATCGTTAGTTAGACTCATTTCACAGAAGCAGTTGAACCTGACAAACAAACTAGACATTTCGCAATATATATGTCTATATATGTTTCGTTGTAACGATGTTTCCAAAGGTCCAGAGCGATAAAAACTGATTGTAAGATTTCATTGATAAAAACTTTGTCTACTCAGTGTAACAGCAATTATATCCTAAATTTAAGTTATCTACCGAAAGCACATTGACAACTTACAGTGAATAAAATATTTTCCAGCTTTCTTGTTGTCGTCTACGTTTGGTTAAATACACCAATTTCTTAGGGATATATTTAACTTCTACGAATATGCAGCCAATATAACAACGCAAGTGACATCATTTGTACCACTGAATTCAGTGAATCTTTGAATGCTAAAAGCAGAACATGTTAGCCTACAAGAGAAGATAAGCAATCGTCCACAGGTTGAAGCGACATGTCATTAAATGTTGAGTTGACTACGTATATCTGAAACTACCTTAATGTATTTTGAAAGCATGATTTAGTGTTTGAGATACTCTGCAATCACTAGACGCCTCAAGAAACCATGTTTACTGCCATACCTTAGTGCATACAGTCACACAGTACGTCAGCTGAAAACACTAGTAAACAAACTCAGAAAAAGTACATGCTTGCCAGTTAAATGTTCGAATTTAAATATGAATCAAATTTCAGTAAAATCAGCTTTATGCAAAGGTTGCAGCTAGTGATTAAAACGGCAAATTTAATTGCGACCAAAGTATGAAATTTTACTCTGTTTTCTTAACTATATCAATCTCACCATGGAGGTTATCCATATCACCCGAAATTTGGGTTAAATACTTGAGTAATTTGGTGACGCATTGAACTAAATCTGGTCCAAGCCCAGGCTAAGCCATTTCAGGCATATGGCCGATAAGGTCAGCCTGGAAGGAGAGAAACGGCCCTATGGTATTTAGTTTATCTCTATCTGGATGGAGAGTACCGCTGATCTGCGTGAGTGTCATTTAACTACTGATACCACTTAGTAGTATATTTTATGCAATGTGAAAAAATTGGTTTTCGAGGTATTCAGTTACCATTGATAGACTCATGTTGATGTAAATAAAGAACCAAATTTAAAGTTGACCTCAGCTTTACCGTAATCTTCTTAGGAAGATTTATAAATTAGCTAAGTAAAAATTTGAAAGAAACGTGAACATTAGTTATTAACTAAACACTAAATGGCTTTCACTTTGGTACTCATATGAATAAATACCAAATTTTAATATACAGTTATTTCAGATTTCACTGCAACCGTTGTTTTATTTCTCTGAGCTTCTTATTAAAATGATATGTTTGGCTATAGATTGAATTTAACATAGTTCATAAGGGAAGAATGAACAAAGTAGAAAGATAAGTACGTTTTATTAAATTCTAAGTGTTAAACGTGCTTTCATGTCGATAATTTTGAAAAGCTTGGGTATCAACAAATACATAGTTCTTAACTTCTATTCCTTGTTCCACTGATTTTATCTATACGGAAAAATCATCCAGTAAACAATAAACATAAGTTATGTGACAATTTACGACTACAATGCATTTAAAGTGTATCAATTTGTGGCTGTAACTAGATTTATTTGAGCATGTTTCAAACCGTTTTGAATTCAAGAGGCGTAGACACATAAATCGAACTTAGTGCTGGTGTATCTACTTACATTTGAATCCACAACTTTCCAGTAAACAAACAGTTAGAATTCAACAAAGTTCTGTTATTGATTTTTATCAACCATATAGGTAACATTATCTAGTATAATGGTACGCTGGAGTAATGTCACAAAAAAAGCAATACATTTTCCCTGAGCCTCTGCATTACATAAACTTGTAATCATATATAGTATTGAGATAGTCATGCTGAATCTGTCTTCCAGTATGGAATACTTTTCTCTGTACAACATCGTGATACATGCAGCACAAGAGGCCTTATCAGTAAGATAC